GACAATGAAGGCAAGAGAGGGAGAGAGAGGAAAAGAAGGTATAACCTACTTAACAAACTTGTGTAAATGGATGGCAGAACAGGGTTCAGGAGTGATAAAAAATAAAAAAAAATTACTAAGATCTACAAAAAACAGGAAATAGTGGAGAGCCACGACTGTCCACATCATGAGGAACACAGCACATAGAAGGTGAAATACACAAATATACATAAAAGCATATACTGATGTATATGTTCTATACACATTAATTTTGCATTTACAGATAAAAGGTAAAGATATTAGTGTGTGTGTGTGTGTGCATGTAGGAATTTAATCATGTAAACTTCCATGAAGATGCAGGAAAATATTTATACTTGATGGTATGCATAAAGAGATAAATAATTTCTAAACATGTATAAACACACATATGAACACAACATTATCATTCATATAAACATTAATATCTGTGCATAAATGTAGCAATATTTATATATATAGGTAAGTAATTTGAAAACTAAGTGTGTGTGTATATATATATATATATATATATTCGGATTACCAACACACAAACAGAGAATGTCTCATATCGAGAATATTTAACATTGAACATAAGGAAAAATTAATTATTTTTAATAATATGTGGAAATCTCCACTCTTACCTGAAGACGGTCGCGAGACCAGAAACACGTGGTCGTAAAATTATGTAAAACAACGATAATATTTTTTCTAAATAAATCCACATTACAACCAAAAACGTTTGCAGCACCTCTCTTCTTCTTCTTTTTAATATACATACTTTTCTCTCATTGGAACCACTACAACATATTTCTTTTATATATATATATATATATATATATATATATATATATATATATATATGCTAGTGTATAAACATATACATAGAAATATTCAAGCATATAAACATATATGTATATATGTGCAAGTGTATGTATGTATGTATGTATGTATATATATATATATGTGTATGTGTGTGTGCACATATATATATATATATATATATATATATATATATATTCACACACAGAGGATAAACTGTAGTCTAAATTATGCAAAAGTGATAATAATACTGGCATCCCATTTTAACAGATATATTTACCAAAATTACACAAAAATATCTTAAAATACTAAAGAGTAAATTTATTCATTAAAATCACCATTGGCTTCAACCATGATCACCAGAAGACTTTGGAATCTCTAGCATCCCCTCTGGAACGTCTCCTTGCTTAAGTTAGTGAATTCTGCCATAATCCTTATCTTCAATTCATTTTTCATATTACAAGGATTTTTATTGGTCTCTCACTCTACTGCACTCCACACATAATAATCAAGTGGGTTGCAGTCTGGGAAGTTAGCTAGCCAGATGTAAGGGGTGATCTGGTGACAGAAATTGTCTAACAGCCTTTACTGGGTTCTCTTGCTTGTGTGACATGGTGCAGGGTCCTTCTGTCAGACATAGGGTCCTCCAGCCACCAACCCTTCGACCCAGGGTAGCACTACCTCCTCAAGGCACTTGATGTAGGCCCCTGTGCTGAGTCTGAGGCCCTGTGGAAAGATGAATGAGGCATAACATTGACATCATTAATGATCACTCCAACTTTTTCTGAATCCTCTGAATGGTCCTCCCAAACACTCTGAAATGTTGGCAAATGCCAAGCAGTGGAGCCTTCCTGCAGCAGGATGCTATTTTCTCACAAATGGTACCCAACTGACGTTACTTTACCTATGCAGTCAACAAAATAAAAAACTAAGAATATGCATGCGCAAGATTAAATATATAAAATAGGTACAATTTACCCATAGCACTGTGTGTATTTGTGTTATATATATATATATATATATATATATATAGGAAGAGAGTAAAAAGAATCATTAGATTTGTGAATATATATTGGAAAATGTCTGTGAGAAAAAAAAATCAAGGCAGATATTAAACTAACCAATTTCATAACCTTTCAGTCTGCAATGCCAAGTTGTACCAATCAATATCAAATAGAAAATGTATACAATCATATTTCTACTACCAGAGGCTAACTCTCTAACACATATTGCATCAGTAGGGCCAAGTTACCATCCTATATTGGCTTTTTTAAAAAAGTAAATAAACCAAAGAGCTCTTAACATTTATTTATAAGTTTGCCCTTATAAACAACTATTTTTGTGTTATGTCTTGAACCATGTCTCTTCTTTTCAACATTGATGCCACAAAAGGTGCCACTCTCAGCAAGAATTTTTATGTATACATTTATAGAATTTGGAGATTTCAAGATTTTATTAAGAAAAGTTAAAACACAAAGAAAATTGATTTTCTTTTATAAAAAAAGTTATAAGTAATAGTTACTGATCAATTAAAACAAAACTTTTTTTTCTCTTTTATGTATTTTTAGTGATAACTAAGTCAATGTCACATTATTAGAACTCATTGTAGAAATATTTGTAAGTTTTTTCTTTGTTCTAATTTATAAATAGGAATGTTATTCAATAGACATTTTAGTTTTATGTTCTCGTTTATAATAATGTACTTTCCATCCCAAGATTCATCTACTGTCCAGCTTTCCCAAGTCCATGTCCAGAGGATTGAGGTATTGATCTCAAAATTCCTTCTCTAATGCATAAAGTAATGTAAAATGACAATTACTTACTCTATCTTCAGACGTCTTGTTTCATTTTTTTTTTTTTAAGCATTTCACCCCAAGCAAGGCGGGGAGCCACTAGGACGCAAGGGGTTACAGAAAATAGGAAGATCAGATAGGAGTGATAGAAGAAAGGATGAGGGTAGTAGATAGATTAAGGCAACTGGAGATGTCGATTGACATTACACTTGAATAGCTGGAGATTATAACTCTCAGGGAAACAGGAGAAGGGAAGAGAGTTCCACAGGCGAGAGGTGCGAGACATGAAGCTATTAGAGTAAAAAGAGACGGCTACATTTATGAGTTTCGACCGTGAAGGGTGAGAGTGGGATGCCAGCCTCAGAGGGCGCTTGAACTCATGAAGTTTGGGAACCAGCAAATGCAGTTCCTCGGAGCAATTTCCATGAAAGTATTTGTAGAACAGACAGAGGGAGGCGACGGTGCGTCTGTGAGAAAGTGACTGTAGACGAGACGCCAGGGCAGGGCCAACCATATTGCATATCCGCTTCTGGAGCCTATCAAGAACCCCGAGGCAAACAGAAGGGGCGCCAGACCATATATGGCAGCAATACTCCATGCAAGGGCGAATTGTGGATTTGTAATTTGGGTTGGAACTGAAAACTTTATCACTTCTTGCTTAATATAATCTAACCACAGCATAATATACAGTGAGAAAATAATTTTGGCAAACATGGACCATCATGCCCACAAAAAAATCAGAGTGTCAAAAGGATGTCTTTTTTTCCATAACACCACTTTTAACTATGTTCACTCTTCAGTAATGTATATGGTTTTAAAAAGCAATAAAAATTTACAGAGCCAAACACTTTCTTCCTTATAAGCATCAGGGGAATATCAAGGTTGATTGATTCATTCATTTTTTATGGCTTATCAACCCTTTGCAGGTTATTTAAAGCCAGAAAATGTTCTTTGATTATAAGAATACTTTTTGGAGATAATACTGATTTAGTGATACAAATCTTACTAATTAACCCATAACTGCGGGTGGGGGGGGGAGAAAAAGTGGATTCATACCTAATCAGAATTTGATAAACAAACAAGAAATTATGATGTGGATATTAAGTGGGGGATCATTTTTATATTACAATCAATATATAAACTGATCCCTCACTTTGTGACTACAATGGTTTCTGTACATTTATATTCCAGCAAAGGTAAATAAATTAAAGGATATACTTGTGTTGCTAATCAATATTAGATTAATTGAGTTGTTCTTTTTTTTTATGGCTTATGCAGGTTATTTAAAACCAGAAAATATTTTTAGATTGTAAAAAAATTACTTTTTTTTTAAGCATTATGCCCTGAGCAAGGCGTTGAGCCACTAGGATGCAGGGGGTTGCAGAAGATTTGGAGCGAGGGCAGATAGGAATGATAGAAGAAAGGATGAAGAGAAGGATAGTGGATAGATCAAGGTAACTGGAGATGTCGATTGACATTACATTTGAATATTTGGAGATTATAGCTCTTAGGGAAACAGTAATAGGGGTGTTCCACAGGCAAGAGTTGCAAGGTATGAAGCTATTGGAGTAGAAGAGACGGCTACATTTAAAAGCTTCTACAGTGAAAGGGTGAGAGCAGGATGCCAGCCTCGTAGGGTGCTTGAATTCATGAAGTCTGGGAACCAGGGAAAGCAGCTCATCGGAGCAATTACCATGGAAGTATTTGTAAAAAAGACAGAGAGAGGCGACAACGCGTCTGTGAGAGAGCAACTGTAGATGAGATGCCAGATCAGGGCCAATTATATTACATATCCGTCTCTGGATCTTGTCAAGAACTCCGAGGTAACCAGAAGGTGCCCCAGACCATATATGGCAGCAATACTCCATGCAAGGGTGAATGGTTGATTTGTATATTTGAAGTATCGATTCCGGTGAGAAAAATTTCCTGACGTGGCACAGAGAGCCAACTTTCCTTGCGGTGGATCAAGCAATTGACTCAATGTATTTGTTCCATCTCAGGTCAGCAGTCAACATGAGACCGAGCAGCCGCAGAGAGTTGCTCTCAAGAAGTTGACTATCAGACATTCTAATGGGGGTGCAGGGAAGGATCTCTATGGTGATTAATAGAGAGTGGTTTAGTTTTTGAGGTGTTAATGTTGACCATCCAAATCTTACCCCAAATAACAACCGATTGGAGGTCCATTTCAAGACTAGCGGCCAGGTTAATTTTGTCAGTGATAATAATGATTTAGTGATACAAGTCTTAACTCATAACTGGAGGAGAAAAGGTGGATTCATATATTTCACTAAGGTATTTTTGCATAAATGAATAGAACTAACTGGAATTGAAACTCAGCTCTTCTATTAACATTCCTGAGCCATTATCCTTTACACCACCCACACATCCCAGCTTACAGCACCTAGTATTCCCAAGTGGTCACCTATCTAGGTATTGACCAAACTCAATGATGCTTAACTTTGGTCATCATATGGGAACCGTTGTTTTAATAAGATGTGGCATTAACTTGGAATATCACTGAATATAATAAACCATTACTAAGAACAAAGAAAAAATACAAAAGTCATCCATTTCTAAGAACATTCAGACATAAATGCTTGATTATATATATATATATATATATATATATATAACTTAAGCCATCTAACTATAAGACATTTCAAATAGAATACCTTCATCATACTAACGTCTAAAATGATTTTTACTTTTATTTATCCTTCTTTATCCCCTTCATTCATATATGTGTGTGTGTGTGTGTGTGTATATACGTGTATGTCTGTACTTTAACAGAAAATTATCTTGATCTTATAAAATATCCAGCAACCAGATCCACCCACACAACCAAACCTTGCCATGTGTATAGGTGATTCTTAGCATCTTCCTCAAAGACACTCCCCCTGAAACATATTCATCTTTTAATATTTCTACATCAAAGAACTTCTTTTTTTCTCTTTTTGGTAGCCTTCCCCTACCCATCACTGGGTGATGGATTTGTTCGACAGCTGCTCTGATTATGTGAATATGTTTGAGGTTCTTCCACATCACAGCGTTTCTCTCCTCCTGTCTGAGAACTTGAAGTGTCTTCTTGATTGGCAGATGCACCTTGATGAAAAAATACAAATCTACCTTCATTGACTTACCTTGTCCTAAATGCAAATATTCATTTGCCTATTTGTTAGTGTTGCAGTATTTTTTTTTTTTATTTACCTTGAATATATAACTAACTCCTCTGAATTTATCAAGTTTCAGAGATACACTGTCACACACAGATCAGCAGGGATCCTGCAAATTTCTTTAGATAAATGATAATGTTCTGAAACATACAGCTTTATGAAACTTTTCTTGGATACTTTCTCATTTTTTTTCATACTCTGATCAGACTCCAATATTTTATACTCATCATCAGAACAATCAGTATATATTCTATGTTGTTTTTGGATCATCCATATATTCATTGCTTTCTTCTTTCCAACATAAAATTGATCCTTTCTCTAACTTCAGTGCCAAGTTCAAAATCTGTTTTTTTATTCATTTTTATTCATTTCACACCAAGCAAGGCAATAAAGCCACTGACACACTAGACTTACTGAGTATGAAAGAATATCAGTTTGATATTTATTTTCTTATTCTAATCGGCTTATAATATTGCCAGCACATAAATTCATGCCATATTTAAGCTAAAGAATGAAGAATTAAAATAAAAAATACAATGCAAACATGAAGGACTAGATACAGTATAATAGTCATGAAGTAAGTATCAAGTGATATGGCACCACCGTTATAAAATAAGAATTTTTTTATGGCGCGCCTACAAGTCGTTTTGTGTCGGGAGGATTGTGTTTAATTCTTGTCCATCTGATTATCTATTTATTTATTTGTTTATTCAAGTGGGCGTTTTATATAGAAATCGTATAGCACCATAAAAATATCCCTCACTGGGAACCAACTAAAGGGTGACCGCAAACATTAGCCTTGAAATAGATACCCTACCCAACCTTAGCAAAACCTCTCAGAAGATGATGAATCTATTGATAAGAATTAACTCTCTGACCACTTAACGAAGAAAAATAGTCTAGCCACTCCCACAATAATGAATTTTGTAACGGACCATGCCTAAAAACACACGTAAACCGAGAGATAGCTTATTCCTAAAATTTCACTTGAAGACAAAATGGGACTAAACACCTCAATTCAAATTAATTTTAATAATTATTTGGATGGTTTCAGCTCTCGTTTTTGAAACATGAGAACTCTTATGTAGCGAAAGAATCATATTTTTAAACAAAAAATTATTATATATATATATATATATATATATATATATATATATATATATATATTCACCTTCATCTATGAAATATCTGTTCATCTTTAAAATGACATGTGAAGATCATACCTTGGTGTTCAACAAAGATTCAAAATCGCTTTCATGATTTTATGCTTTAAATAATGCAATGATTGTATTTTTTGACATCACTATTCTTCTTATTGTGTAAGTCTAAATTATAAAGGTTAGAGTAATACATGAAAATATTCTTAAAAGTTTTCAACCTGAAAGAGAGATTCTGGGAGGAAAATCAGACACTCTTGATGAATGAAGAGGGGAATTGAAAAAAAGTTTAGTGAGATCAGGAGCCAGTTCAAGAGCATATTTCTTTAGGATAACTGCAGGGATTCCATCAAGTCTGTATAGTTTGTGAGGTTCTATTTTGCAAATGATAGCAGAAACCATATCATACAGTTAAGGTTCCATTCCAGGAGAAAAATTATATACTCCCAATGATTCAAGAGGGGAATTGAAAAAGAATTTACTAGCAAAGCATTCTGCTTTATCAGCACATCTAAAGGATTGAAGAATCAGAGAAAAAAATTCAAGTCGTACTAAATGAAAAATCATATTAAAAATATTGAAGACATAGCTGCAAAGAATAGGAAGATGTGGAGAACTATAACCACCCACGTCCTGATGTGACATGGCACACAGATGAATAAAAAGTATTAAAAAGTATTAAACTACAATGTTCTTTGTTCACCAAACATTAGGCAAAACAATATTTTGAGAAGTGTCAAATTTCTTTTGCTTTGGAAAATTGGAAAAAAATGAAAATAAAGGCAAAAATAAAAATCTAAAAAAAAAAAACAAAAAAAAAAAAAAACACCTGAGTTGTAGACATAAGCAAATCTTATATAGAGTTTATGACAGCTTGCATGAAATATCTACAATCTTCTTTTTATGCCAGAATATATAGAAGACATAGAATTATAAATAAAATGCCAATACCAAGATCTGTTCTACCAAGTTCAGTACTAACAGAACCGATATTTCTGCTTTTCCAATACCAATAAACCATTTTTTTGGCTTTAGGATGCAATGGATGTATAGGCTGTGTAATGGTTAGCAACTCGGACAAAGAAATTTGCAACCCAACTCAAATTCCTCCTGGTTATGGGATGGGTTAAATATCATGGCCAACAGGGATCTCTGGCTCTGAAGTGGAAACCTCTGAATCCTTGCCCGAGACATGCCACAACTGCTATGACTGCAGTACATTCAGTGACCTTTATTTCATTTCATGACACTTTAGGAAATACAGTAGAGCAGTTTTCCATTGCTCTAGAATTTAAACTTTTCCTTCTCTTAGACTGACTACCAACCAGAGCTAGAGACACCAATCTACCCTACTACTTAAAACAACCTGGGAAAGAAGATATGCCCTCATACCTTTCCCAAGAGTATTTCTGAGAAAAGGAATGCAACAAACGAGATCACAATGAGAACTCTTGCTCCCAACTTCCATGTTCCAAGTTGATAATCATTACACTATGGGCATATCCTTCTGAAACATTGTGTTTTTGTCTCGTCCTAAGTTAAACTTTAATGTGAATTATTTTACATATGCTGATTATTGATAATCAATTGTTATTGGTTGGAGTTTCCATCTCTTGTCAGTATATGAAATAGCAGTACTTAACTGGCAACAATCATTTTCTCTAAATAAAAAGGTGTGTACTAAAACTATTGCAAAAATTCTGTAAAATTCAACTATACTAATTTATAAAGAAAAAGTTAAAAAGTGATTTTAAACTGTTTTTTTTTTTTGCTTTTCTTTTTTCATTTTCGTCAGGTGCAAAATCTACTGATAAGAAAATAGTAACAGGAATTGAATTCTTCACTGTTATTGGCCAAAGTTTTCATACTATTTCACTTCCGACAAAAATAATCACACAGCTCAGAATTGAAATTCTTTAAGTCTCATTCCTTTCAGATCAGATAGCAGATTTTATCAGACAAAAAATATTTTCTCAAGTAACCCAAGTCAAAAAACAAACAAAATAAAACAATGCTATCAAACACTGCTATTTTCTATTCAGAAAAAGATTGGTTGGGTGGAAGAAGAAAATACTTTTTTCTTCTGAAAATAATATTCAGAAAGATAAATTGTTTGCGCATCAGAATTCAAAATTTCTTGAAGCTTACAAAGTCAAAAATCATTCACTGATCTTTCCTTGACAAGGATAAGTAAAATTATATTGTTATTCTTTGTTTATATATCTTCATTCACAAATATTTTAAAAGCATATGTAATGTTTTACTGATTTATAAAAAATATTCTCATGTACTCATACATACATACAGATAATATATTTTTATTCAATGTTGTAACATCTTTTAGAACTTCTAGTGCCTTCATTATCCAAAGATTTAAACAGATTAAATTTTTAAGTTCAAATGGAAAAGAACAATACAAACTTATAATGGAAATAATTGAAACTTCTTAAAAAAAAAAAAAAAAAAAAAAAAAAAAAAATGAATTTACACAACAAACGGTTGAAATCTCCTTTTTATCAGTCTAAAATCCTTCTTTAGTAGCAAATTTGTAGTGTGTCCATGATGGAAAAACAATAAAAATTACATTGTTTTTTTACACTGATCATTTCTTGAAAAATGTTTCAAAATTGAAGTCTTTTCATCAACATTCAAATGTTCTATTGCATATTTATTTAAATGACATTTCACCAATACAACTATTTTAACATATTTTATTTTTATACATTATTTTTATAGACACAAATATTTAAGTATATGCTCTGTTTATAATAAACAGTATTAACAACATTTACCAGCCTGAATGTCTGAGAAATTTTCACAGAAAAGAAGTGTCCTCTGACAAGAATCGAAACTGTATCCTACATGGAACTGTCATATAGCCTGATGTGCTATACCAGTTTAGTTACAGAGGAGTGTCTGGTTAGCAAGGTCACTTTTACTGTTTTTAAACTACATGATTTCCCTTGAATGTTCATATCTGCTTAAAGTGTATCTGAATGTAAAAAAATTATATTAAAATAATTGTCAGACTTTGTCCATTTCATAGTGTATAGCTAACCATACAGTTAGCACATTCAAATTTATATATGACTTGTTCTATAGAATCATTTGGTATGTTGTATATATTCAAAAACAAAGAACCAATTTTCTGATTCATG